GGCCATTCCCTGCTAAGAAGGATCTTAGTAGAGATTCTTGCCCTTATTTCGTGGGCTTCTCCTTAATTCTAGGATAAGATCTTGGTTGGTTGAGATTGGGTGCCTTGATTACAACTTCCTAACGCTTTAGGATTCTCTCGTGGTTATCCAGCTGTTATCTTGCCTTAAGAGACACTCAGCCCTTACCCTCTGACCTCTGCTAATGTGCCTGACCTCCTGGTCCGAGCTGACCTCCTGAGCTTAGCACTTGAAATTTATTTTATGTATCATCAGAATGTTACTTTTTTTTTTTTTTTTTTTGTGTTTGAATGTTACATTTTTTTTTGTATTTGAATGTTATTTTATATATATATATATAGATGAACAAAAGGGAAGAAAGAGATGGAAGAGACATTAAATAGGTAGGTGAATACAAGTCAAATGTATTGTCTTCCGAAGAAATATGTCAAATGTGTTGTCTTCCCAAGAAATGTGTTGCATTCTCTAGGATTGAAGGATGTATTAAGAGTATTTTGTAGTTTTAAAAAAATTGTGGACTTAACTACTTACAAAAAGATTAAAATAGAACTTCTCAAATTAGTTTAAGTGATAGACTTGGTTATTAAAAGTCACCTAAAAATGACTCAACCCCAATTTTCATTATTTCTTCTTATAGATTCATGTTTTTTGTTTGGATTATTATTACACACCTAAAAATTATGAAATATTTTTAAAATGGTACCTAAAGCCCAGGATTTATTAGTTTAGTGATTGGGCCGGCTCGGACGATCATATCTAAAATTATTAGATGCCTAAGGTATAATTAGGCTAGGGTCCCCCTTATAGCGTGTAAACCACTATAGTCCTACTGGCTTTTTAGAATTAAAAAATGTCAATTTTTTAAAAAAACATTGCATGAGGTGGTCCCTGGTTGGTGGGGTTGGACAGTTATTGTATTTTTATTATCTATTTTTTCCTCATCACATAATTTTGTACCTAAATTTGAGAGATACGAGTGAGCCAAAATGGAAGACATCATGATCCCCTTCTCCTATTCATTCTTGATTAAGAACACTGTAAAATCTGGAAAAATTTGAATTTTTATAAAAAAATGGCAAAACGGTAATTAGCTGCTACGATACGGGTTGAAAATCTGAATTTTTCTAAAACTCGGATGACGAAACAAACCTCATCATTTGATTCGTCTTGCGAAATCTAGTTATCCATTTAATTTTCGTTGAATTCTGAAATAGTTTGATTTTTTGCGTTTTACGAGTGAACGAGTGTCACATGACCAAAATAAACGCGACTGGGAATTTATTTGTGAGACATAAAAAATATATTGAATTTGAAACGAGATGAGATTTAATTAATTCGTGATGAAATCGGACCCGGGAAAGGAAGACGTGTAGCGCAACGAGGGCCAAATGTCTAAGGGGTGTAAATAGGGGAGAAAAATCAGATTTTCTCTCCATTACCCATCAAATTTTTGGAAAAGAGAAGAGGGAGGAGGAGAGGAAAAAATCAAGGATTTTCTTAATCTTCTCTCTACGATCTTGGGCCAACCTTTGGTCAGAATTCTTCGGGCCAAGAAACAAAGTTTATCTACGGGACAAAGGCTACGTCTACGTACCAAAAGTCGCAGGTTTTGATGAAGTCTCAAAGCCCGGATTTTGGGAATCAAGGCTTGAAGCTTAATTGGGTACTTGGGAGTTTCCTACTACATGTATTACGCTCCAAGAGGTAGGGCTCCTTTCCTAACTAGGTTTATTTCCAACCTAGGATTGAAATATGAAATGGGTAAGGTGTTGGAGATAAAATCTCATGTATAGTACATATCTATGGTAGTTAAAATGTGAAAAAATGGTATAAGAATAGTTAAAATCAATTCTAGCATGAATTGGATTGTTGAAATTACTTGTTTGTGATTTCTTGAGATATATGATGAAAGAGGCATGCTATGTGTTTATAATTATGCCTTCAAGGTGTTTGATGAAATTTCTATGTTGATTAAGTATGTTAATTGCATTGATAATATTATAACATGTTTTCGTAAGGTTGTTGATGCTGGTTATAAACTTATGATTTAATTGACCATGGAAAATATTGAAGTTGTTCATAAGGTGCTCATGACATATTGAACATGACTTGAGATTTGCAATTGTACGTTACATTTGCATATGCACGAGAAACATTGCATTCATGGACATGGAACATGAGTGTGGGTGTGTGCAAGGTTTTGATCAAATAAACTCTTGGTGGATGATGCGTGGACTCTAAAAAGTTGGACCAAGGTTCGACTGAGTTGCCATTGTTTTTCAGTGAATTTTTCTACCGGTAGAACGTTGTTTTTCTACTGGTAGGTCTCCTGTAATTTTTAGAAAATTAAAATGATCTTGTAAAGTCTTCGGGCCTTGAGCCCTTTTGTTTCAAGGATGTAAATAGAGTAAGATCAAGCATAAATTGATGTATATTGGACCTTGGAATGGTCATGTGATAGAAATGTACACAAGTTATGCGTTTGGGAGTGCCCGATACAAAGGAGACTCTGCCCAAACGCTGTGTTGTTGATGATCCCGGTGAAGGGGATGTTATTGTCGTGGTGCCAGGTTATGCGGCATTCATGGATACTTCCGCGGGTTGATGGAGGATCAACGGGTTGACAAAAGATCCCCGATTTTAGGAGTGTCACAAACACACAGATCTCCATTTCTTTCTCTCGCAACAACCTCTACGGTCACTCGATCTATTTCCGCTCAGTGATCGCATGAGTTTTCAAGTTGAAGGTGAATTGGATCAAATTGGAAATCTATTCGTTGCCTATGAAGCCATAGAAGTTGATGTTGGTGACTTATCTTCATGGGAATTCATCAATGCCTTCAACGATGATGAGGAAGATCGATTCGATTAGAAATCTTCGGCCTTCCTTCCTCTCTATTTGGTTTGATTTTGCAAAGAAATGATGGGTTGGGGAGTAGTTTTTCTGGTTTTTTCTTCTGATTTTGCTCTACGCTCCTCTTATTTTTGATTTGTGGGTTTCTTATAAACTGGACTTGCCAAATTTGGTATATTTTGCGTACTTGTTATTTTTTATTTTTTTTATTGCGTACCTATAATTTTTTTTTATTGCATACTTGTTATTTTTATTTTTTATTGCATATATGTTATTTTTTTTATTGTTTACATGTTATTTTTATTGCGTACCTGTTATTTTTTTTATTTTTTATTACGTACTTGATATTTTTTAATTTTTTATTGCGTTGCTATTTTTTTTATTGCGTATCTATTATTTTTTTTTTTTTATTGTGTACCTAGTTTTTGTTTTATTGTGTACCTTTTTTTTGTATTTTTTAATTGTGTACATGTTATTTTTTTTTAATTTTTTTAGTGAACATGTCTAACGATTTGTGTTTGTGGAAAAAAATGTATGTAAATTTTTAGAATAGGTGTTTAAATTAGGTGATTACATTGTTGTTATTTTTTGCAATTGGAAAGAGCTTTAGTTATGTTCATTATTTTGACTTTTCAACAAGGACCTAATCTAAAAGAAAATTGGTGAATGAATGTTTTTTGGAATCTTATTTGGCCTACGGACTAGCCTCCAAATCCCTCTACGCCTAAACCACAATATAATCAATGATGCTATTGATATATAATTTAGGACATTTATGCATTGTCACCATTAGATTGATAGTGGAATGCATTCAATGTTGAGTCTGCGTTGTCAATATAATTTAGTTGGACACTAATGCATTGTCAATATAATTTAGTCTTGATTTATAGTCTGTGTTGGCCTAATATTACCAATATCAAATTTTTTATTATAATTTTGCTTACACAAAAACATAGAATAATGTGATGCAATGATATATAAAGTAGTAGCACAACTTTAGAGGAGTAGAAAACTTCATAGTCAACTCAATTTAAAAAGTTTTATACCAATTATTGAGAATGGACTATATGAATTCAATTCACAATTGTGCAATTGATTGGGTAAATTTCTCATGGATTCCATAACCTTTGGTCAAATGATATGGAAGACATCAATTCTATTTTAAAAAATGCCCCTCAATAGTGAAAATTAGATTTGTAGGAATATTTTGCCCCTGAAAAAATAGAAAGACAATTGTGCACTCATTTTTAAATCAGTTTGGAATTTTAAGCTTCGTTTCTTTTGACTGTTGTCCAAGTATATACTGGAACTGCTCTACTATATTCTTTCCCTTTGCTTTTTCATCAATTGATTTGTTGCTGCACTATTGATCAGTAACTAGCCCCCAATTCGCCCCAATTATCTAAAAATTGCCAATTTTATGGCTGAATTAGATCAATCTGATCTCATAACCGACAAAAAGAAAGCTAAAAATAACGTGAAATTCTCATTGTCATGATTAATTCGCCAAAGCTTTACTGAGTAACAATCAAATATGTTGACTCTTCCTCGCAAAATTATCAGCATTTTTGAAGTTATTGATTGTGTAATTCTTCACTGAGTTTGCCCTTTATACCGAAATTAGTTAAAAAATTCCAAAAGTGATTACTTATTTGGTATGCAATTGTCTCAACAAAGGGCCACTTTCTTTGATAGCATGAACATCTATGCTCCTAATGCTTAATAGTTTGTAAGTTTTTATCTGTAGATTGGAAGGAAAAGTGGCTTTGATTACAACGAAACTATTCTGTCAACGCAGTGCCAAAATCTTGATTGCTAACGTCCAAGATGATCATGGCCACCTGATCTGCGAGGAATTAAGCCATGCCAACGCTTCCTTCATCCATTGCGATGTTACGAGTGAAGTGGATGTTCAAAATGCAGTTGACAAAGCAGTTGTCAAGCATGGGAAGCTCGATATAACGGTGAACAATGCCGACATCATGTGAAGCAAAAAAAAATAGACATTCTTGATAATGATCAAGCTGAGTTTGAACACATTCATCGTGTCAACGTTACTGGTACATTTTTGGGCATCAAGCACGCAGCTCGTGTCATGAAAGCAAACCGTGGGGGAAGCATAATTAACATGGCTAGTGTTTGTTCAGTAATTGGTGGAGTTGCTACGCATGCCTACACAAGTTTTAAGCCTGCCATGCTTGGCCTCACGAGGAACACGGCCCTTGAATTAGGGCAATTTGGCTTTCGGGTTAATTGTGTTTCGCCTTATGCTGTTCCAACACCAATGTCAAGGAAGGGGTACAATTTAAAAGATGATGATCCATTTGATGTTTATTCAAACCTCAAAGGGGTAGCACTGAAGCCAGAAGATGTGGCTCAGTCTGTTCTTTATTTGGCAAGCAAGTATGTAAGCGGCCACAATCTGATTGTGGATGGAGGTTTTACAATTGTGAATACCACTCTTACGATGTTTGGTTGAGAAAAATCTGGTGGTTGACACCAAATCGGTTGTGGCATATTGATAGGGCTGCCATGAACATTTTAAGGGCACAACCGGGTTAACTCTTATCATAGTTTATTGGCGCGCGATCTTAGGTTGAAGCTTATCTGATGAAGTGTGTGTAAAGTATGTGATTAAAAAGTTCAATGTTGTAGATATATTTTACGAATACCATTAAAAAAATTGTGTGTAATATGGGTGGGTGTTTAAGAAAAGCCAATTGAATTGGAATAGAATCAAACTCAGAATATTGCATTTTTTTTGGGAATTAGTATATTACAATAAAGGGTAAGGCTATTGGGGCATGATTTTTGGACCTAAATAAGTGACCTGATGATGTGGCAACTAAAGTGTCCTTACCAACTCAGCAACTTAATCCACCTAATTTCTTTAAAAAATTAGCAACTTACAAAATTTAGAATCCCTCTTTTCACATTCTCTTTCCCCAAACCTAGTACACCTTCCCCAAAGCCCTAAAATTTCTCCTCCTCTTGAACTTCGACAAGTACCCCAATCGCCTGCCACTATGACACAATGCATGAAAATGCATTGAAAAGTAAGGTGGAAAGAGGAGAACCAGGAAGAATGTAAGTCTTTATCTTCGCAAGTCTCTTGTGTAACCCATTATGACATGGAGAAACAAGTTTAAAGATTTTACACTATCTCAAAATTTAAGGAGTTCCAAAGTGTTAAAATTATTAGGGTAGTCTGTGTAAATTGTTAATAGTGGCAGGGTAGTATGTGTAATTCTTCTTTTTATTGTAAGTTAACTATTAATACAATGATATATGAGAACTAGGTCAAGCTTTTGACCTCTTTGTTCCTTTTCAATATATTGTGTTAATCCTTTACACTTAACATGGTATCAGAGCAATACGATTCTAAATACAAATATTAGTCTGTGTTTGTTTTGTGGAAATTACCTTGGCTGGGTGACGTTACTTGTAAGGTGTTGTTGTTGGAGTTCCGGCGTTGTGGTGGTGGCGTTGTGGTGTTGCTGTCGTTATCGTGGTGGTGGCACTGTGGTGCGGCTGTCGTTGTTGTGGTGGTGGTGCTGCGGTCGTTGTTGTGGTGGTGGCGTGGTGTTCCAGCGTAGTGGTGAGGTGTTGTCTGTCTTCTGTGGTGGTCATCGAGGCCGTTGGCTTCGCGATGGTTTGGGTGGAGCTGTTGTGGTGGTGTGCCTGGTGTCGTTGTGCTGTGTAACCTTGTGGTGGTGTGCCATTAAGTCGACTGCGCTGCACAGTCGAAGATTAAGGTTCTCTTGAAACCCTAATCTAACGAAGAAGACAAAGTCCATTCAGGCTGGTTTCGGGTCGGTTTCAGTCCAAGACCCGGTCCATCCTAAGATCGAAACCAAAATCGGTCCAGCCCAAGACCCAGACCAGACCGGTTCAAGGCCGGTTTAGTTCTGGTTTGGTCCATTTCCAGTCGGTTCAGTCCTGGTTTGGTCCGTTTCAGGCCGGTTCAGTCCCGGTTTGGTCCATTCCAGTCCGGTTCAGGGAGTTTGGCACCGGTTCAGACCGATTCTATCAATTTTTTGACCGGTTCAGCCTTCTAATAGGTTTTTGGGGCCCGGTTCAGCCTTTCAGCAGGCTTTTGGGGTCCGGTTCAGCCTTCCAGCAGGCTTTTATGGTCCGGTTCAGCCTTCCAATAGGCTTTTGGGGTCCGGTTCAACTTTCTAGGTGGTCCGGTTCAGCCCTCCAGCAGGCTTAGCAGGTCTAGTTCTGTCCGGTTTTGTGTTCTAGCATTATAGCACCCCCTGTTTGCTATTTGTTGCACTGCTATGGAACCCAAGCAGAATACCGAGTCCCTTACTCTAGCTTTACCACCCACCTCTATCCCTCCGACTATTATCAATGGTCTCATGACCTCCGTTAAACTTAATGGGACCAATTATACTTTATGGTCCCGGTTTGCTCAAGTCTTTCTTCGTGGAAAAGGATTCAAGAAATATTTTGTGAATTCTAAACCCGAGGAAACTATTCCTGGATATGATCAGTGGGAACAAGAGGATGCTCAGATCATTTCCTTACTGTTGAATAACATTGAGCCTAGTATTAGTTTTACTTTGCTCTACCTTGACACTACCAAGGAGATATGGGATCACTTGGCCACCATGTATTCTGGTATAGGTAATTTTATCCGTGCGTATGAGGTGTGTAAGGAGTACTTGCGGTTGGAGCAGGGTACTTTGAATCTTGCGGATTATTACTCTCATGTTCGGGGAGTTTGTGAGGAGATGAAGACCTACCATCCGTTTACTACTGATGCAGTAGTTTGGCAGAAGCAACTTGAGGACCTGAATGTTGTTAGGTTTTTGGTAGGATTGAAACTTGAATATGAGGCTATTCATTCTTAGATTTTGGGTGGTCCTAGTCTTCCATCACTACTTGAGGTTTTCTCTCGTTTACAACGTGCTACACTGTCTACTCCTTTAGGTATTGATCATGGTGTCTCCACTGATCGCTCAGCTCTTGTGGTTCCTAGTAGCCATAGTGATGATCATCGAGGTGGACGTGGTAGTGGTCATGATGGTCGAGGAGGTCGTACGAGTGGTCGTGGGGTCGTAGTGGATCCCGTTCCTGTACTCACTGTGGTCGTGGAGGACACACTGTTGACTTCTGTTGCGATTTACATGGTAAATCTTCTGGTGCTGCTAATCAGGCTTCTTATTAGGATGATACCTCTGTTGTTGCTTCCATACCTCGGTCAGTTCCACTAGACACTAGATCAGTTACTATTACACTAGGTCAAGAGGAGTATTCCCAATTCCTGTCCCAGCAACAGGCTGTTCCATCTCCCTCCACTGCTACTTTTGCCCAGTCCGGTACTGCTTTCACTTGTTTATTGTCCTCCACCCGCAGTCCTTGGATCATAGACTCTGGCGCTTCTGACCACATGATTGGTGCGTCTGATGTTTTTTCTACTTATCAGTTCGTTACTTCTGCACGTAGTGTTACTCTTTCTAATGGTACTTGTTCTAAAGTTTCAGGTTTGGGGACTACTTTCTTGAGTCCTGATATGTCCCTATCATCCGTGTTATTTGTTCCTCAGTTTCCTTTTAGTTTACTTTCCATTAGTAAGATTACCGGTTCTCTCAACTGTTCTGTAACTTTTTATCCCTCTTATTGTGTCTTTCAGGATCTCAAGACGAAGAGGAAGATTGGTACGGGACATGAAGCCGGTGGCCTATATTACTTTGATTTTGATTCTCCTACTCGGCCTCTACAGACCCCATTATCTCCTTTTCAATGACATTGTTGTCTTAGACATCCCTCTCTCCAGAATCTGAAGCGTCAAGTTCCCAGTCTTAATTGTGTGTCGTCTTTGTCTTGTGAAGTTTGTCAACTTAGTAAGCATCACTGTGTGTCATTTCAATCTAGAGTCAATAATTGTGTGTCTAGTTTATTTGAGTTGGTACATTCTGATATATGGGGTCCAATAAAGAATATTTCATATAATAAATATCCTTATTTTGTGTCTTTTGTGGATGACTATTCTCGTGTGACTTGATTATTTTTGATGAAAGCTCGGTCTGAATTATTCTCTATATTTGAGACCTTTCGTAAGGAAATAAAAACTCAGTATGGTTGTCGTATACGTATTTTACGTTTTGATAATGCTCGGGAATATGAATCTGATCTTTTTTCAACTTATCTTACTAAAACTGACATTATTCATCAGACTTCTTGTGTTTACACATCTCCACAGAACGGTGTTGCTGAATGCAAGAACCGTCATTTGTTGGAAGTCACCCGTGCCTTGTTATTCCAAATGAATATTCTCTGTTATTTTTAGAGTGATGCTGTTCTTACTGCTTGTCACCGAATTAATCGTATGTCATCCCTTGTGTTAAATAGGCAAAGTCTATGTTCTGTCCTTTTTCTTGATAAGCCCTTATTTTTCCTAACTCCTAAGATTTTTGGATGTGTCTATTATGTTTACAATTTGGGTCCTGAGTTTGATAAAATTGATCCTCAAGTTACCAAATGTGTATTTCTTGGTTATTCTCGCACACAGAAGGGGTATCGTTGCTACAGTCCTTCTCAGCGACGATACTTTACTAGTGTCGATGTCACATTTGAGGAATCTGTTCCATATTTTCCAGCACCTTCTTAGCCTTTGGATCTGGACTTTGGGTCACCTCTTGTATCACCATCTCTTCCCTCATCTTCAGATATTCTGCTGCCCGTTGTGTTATCGTCTACTTTACCTCTTCGTGTATACTCTCGTCGTCCTCGACCATCGACTAAGATGTCTGTACCGTCTTCCTTGCCGCCTTATGATCCTGGCTAATCAGGTAATTTTGACTCTTTACCTATTGCTCTTCGAAAGGGTACTCGTTCGTGTGTTACTAATCATCCTATTGCTCATTTTGTTTCATATGATGCCTTATCTCTTGTCTTCTCTTGTTTTATCTCTTAATTATCTACTGTATCTATCCCTAAGCATTTACAGGCTGCTTTATCTGATCCAAGTTAGAGGAAAGCTATGGAGGATGAGATGGATGCCCTACATCATAATGGGACTTGAGATCTCGTTCCTTTACCCCTGGTAAACGAATTGTTGGTTGCTGTTGGGTGTACACTGTTAAATTTCACCTGGATGATTTTGTAGAGCGTCTCAAAGCCCGACTTGTTACAAAGGACTGTACTCAGACTTATGGTGTTGATTGAGGAACCTTTCTCCCCTGTTGCAAAAATTTCCTTTGTTCGTATCTTGATTTCTTTGGCTGCTAATCTTGATTGACCCTTTTTTCAGTAAAATGTCAAGAATGCCTTTCTACATGGTGACTTGGTTGAGGAGGTATACATGGAGTAGCCACTTGAGTTTATTGCTTAGGGGGAGTATGGTAAGTGTGTATGTCGGTTAAAGAAATTTTTGTATGGTTTGAAGCAGTCACCGAGGGCATGGTTTGGTAAGTTTTCAGATGCAGTTTTAGAGTTTGGTCTGCTTCAATGCCAGACAGACCATTTTGT